ACAAGTTCACCACATCCAGCGGGGGAGGGCTTGAACTTCGGTTTCTTTCTCTTTCTCAAGGCTTACTTGACCTTGGCTAAATCCAATTATAGACCGCCTATAGCTTGTGGGATTTTTTTCTTTTTTGATAGGTTCAGGGCCTCTGAAATCAAATCCTTAAATAGACAAGGCAGTTACGGTAAATGAGTGAAGCAGACCGGTGTGAGGAAGACAACTGGGCAAGTGTTCTGACCAACAGTACCTGGATTTGGCTTTTGTGGAGGGAGATGATAGCGCCTGGTGGGGAGTACAGCTGAGTAAAGAAGGTCTGTTCTCATTTCGCCCCAGCGGATTGCTGCTCTGTAAGAATGCCAGGCCTTCCAATTTTTTCAAGAAGGCTCGCACGTTATTGTGAGATATCGCCTAATACCTGAATATTGTATCAATTAAAATATCTCCAAACTGCTTCAGCCAAACAAAACACAAAGTACGAGCTAGACCTAGCCTGTTGGAGGCCAAATCAAGGGGAAGCCAAATGTTCACAGGCGTCTGGTTGTCCCACTGCTGCTCATGTGTGGCTGCCATCTTTCCTAGGGTTGGCACTCATGCTAGCTGGAGCCCTACACTATTTCCTCCTCATACTTCAGCTTCACGACGTTGTCCCGCGACCTCAGACAGTGGTTACGCCTTTGATCTTGGCTCCACCCTCAGTTATGTCCACATTGTCCTAATAGGCAGATTGATATTGTCAGGGATTTTGGCATCATGCGTGGTACAAACGGAGGTCCCCCAAATCTCGCAGCCCTCCACGACTTTAATATCTGGAGAATACATCTGAAGTTCCCATGCCAGAAAAATATAGGAAATCCAGAACTGCCAACCCTGCATATTTGAGAGGGTTTCTATAGGTGATGACATTTTCCTAATTGTCATTTGTGGTCATGTCCTTTCCCCTAGTATGGGAACAAAAACTTCTTTCTTGCCTTCCCCAGCACTATTAATCCAGTGGTGTAATATGTAACATATTAAATGTTTGGGGATGGCAGCCGGGAATGGACCCACAAAAAAGGAAGCAACCTAAGTAGGATATTAATCTCCGTGGTCAATCTCCACCCCATGCAGCCTCAAAACAGCTGTATTTCTCTTGCCATCATGCTGCTGGCGCCTCAGCTGTCGTGGCAGAAGACCAGGTCCCACTCCCTCAGTGGACCTCCGCTTCCACTGAGATCAATGCAGTCTTTGTTTCCCGAAGCCACAATTTTAGAATTCACGTGATTCTGTTAGGCACAGAAATTTTAGCCTATTTTTTTAGCTCAACCCCCAGACTAGTCCCAGGCCTTCTGTTTAGACATTCCAGAAGGTAATTGATTTGTTTTCGAAAACAGGTCTATAGATCCTCTCCCTGAGATGATTTTTGTGGTTTTTCCTCTGAATGTGGAGATTGTTCTATGACACTGTGAGAGACTGAATGTGCAAACAGAGGATCTCAGACCATGTGTAAAAATTTTCACCCACACTCTGCAGCATCAAGCCCAGAAAACCAACCTACTGTCTGCAGAAACCAGCCCAGGATGCTGGCTTGCTATTGACAAGTCAGACTTAGAAGCACATCAGAACATCCCTCTGGCAATCTATTCAGAAAACCAAACAAGAACCCCTATATCAATCAGCCCCAGAAGGACAGGACTCGAATAATAACTCACAGCTCCCCTAGTTTTCGTCTCTGCTCCCAATTCAGTACGGCTCAGAGGAAGCCAAATACACAACCCAACCAATCACGTGGGATGCTCCACGTCCACGCAGCCCACCGCCAGCTTCCCCAGGCTGACAGCCCCCAGGCAGAGCACACCTGAAGCCTTCTCTTTTCTCCTCTAGGAACCTTTCCCACGCTTCTGCCTGCCCTTGAGTCTCTGACGAAACAAAAGTGATGGTGGCCGGCTCCTTTGTCACAGCAAGCTCCATGTAGCCCCTGCTTGTTTGCATTTGGTTGGTTGAATGTTTTTGTCCTCCCCCAAATTCATAATGTGATGGTATTTGGGGGTAAGGCCTTTGGGAGGTAATTAGGGTTGGATGAGGTCATGAGGGTAGAGCCCCCATGATGAAATTAGTGTTCTTAGAATAATAACAAGAAAGACCAGTGTTCTCTCTCTGTCTCTCTCTCTCCCTGTTCCTAGAAGACACAGTGAGAAGGTGGCCATCTGCAAGCCAGGAAATGAGCCTTCATCAGGGAACTGAATCAGCCAGCACCTTGATCTTGGACTTTCCAGGCTCCAGAACTGTCATAAATAATTTCCTTTTGTTCAAGTGGCTCAATCATCTTTGGTATTTCGGTATGGCAGCCTGAACTGACTAAGACATAGATCTTGGTTTATTTCTACAGCAGGTTTTGGTCATTTTCACTTTGTATTAACAGGCATCAAAAAGGGAGTTGCTAAAAACCCAGCATCAAAAAGGGAGTTGCTAAAAACCAACCAACATATGTCGGTGTGTTTCCCAGAAGTCCATGGAAGCGTTGTGAATGGCGAAGCTGAAGTCTCAAGTTTCATGGGGAGGTTCTCAGAAGCTTCAGATGCTGCGTAGGTAAGGAAGGTGAGCCTGGTGGTTGGGATGAGGTCGTGTTTGACCCACACGAGATCTTTCCACCTCAAGTTGGCCTGATGGAGAAAACATAACCAATGTGTTGACTCACGTAGCTTAAAAAGTTCTGAAGTACACTGGCTTCAGGCACAGAGGGTTCTGGAGCTTGGTCAGTGTCACCAAAATCTTTTTTTCTTTTTCTTTAATTAAAAAATTTAAAAATTTTAACGTATTTTTATTGAAGTATAGTCAGTTTACAATGTTGTGTCGCCAAAATCCTTTTTACACTTGATCTTAGCCAAAAGGCCGAGAAGCGATGCCAAAATCCTTTTTAAAAAGAATTCTTTTAACCCTGTAGCTGGCTTCGTTCCCGGGCAGGCTCTCGGCTTTGAGGTTGTTCAGCCCAGCCTCTTTCTACTATGGAGATGTGACGGGAGGACTTCCTTTTCTGCTCGATCAGGGTCCTTCTGTCTGCATGTTGTGCTAATGACTGTGTAACCCCAAAGTGGGGGTGGGGGTGGGGGTGGGGGAGGGAAGGGCTGGCTCTGCTCTACTCTCTGTGGCCCTAGACATGGCTTGAAACCACGCAGAAAATACGTGTCACCCTGAGCCCCTAGCTTTTCCCTTCTGTGACATCTAGCCTGACTTTGATCCTCAGGTCCACAAACCCCCAAATTCAAGTTTCCATGATCAAAATTCCCCCAGGGCACGTGTGACTTTTGTTCTCTGCTTCCCTCTCTGGGTTTCCATCCTCTCCTAGATTTTGGACTGCAAATTCTTTTCCCTAGTCAGCCTTTCAATTGTCTTAAGAAGAGTTACAGACTCACAGACTTAGAAGACAAATTTGTGGTTACCAGAGGGGAAAGGTAGGGGAAGGGACAAACTGGGAGTTTGGAATGAACAGATGCAAACTACTATATACAAGACAGATAAACAAGGTCCTGCTGTAGAGCACAGGGAACTATACTCAACATCTTGTAATAACCTATAATGAAAGAGAATTTAAAAAAGAATATATGTATATAGAACTGAATCACTGTGCTGTACACCAGAAACTAACACAACATTGTAAGTCAACTCTACTTCAACTGAAAAAAGAGTTACAATGATTTTTCATTTTAAAATGAAATTGTACTTTTAGTTATTAGTGTATTTTTACTTATTATTGTATTTTTAGTTATTTTCAGCAGGGAGCTGGGGCTGATATCCAGCTCACAGAACCCCTGGAGATGGTCCTCAATCTCTTTTTCATTTAAACTCACACCCTTTGTGATCTCTCTCAGGTTCATGACTTGATTTTTTTAATGGAAGCATAGTCAGTTACAATGTGTCAAATTCCTGGTGTACAGCTTCATGTCCACCTTGAGACTTGTGAATGCACTGTTCCTCTGGGATGAATTTTGCCTAGATATCGACAGGAGTCATTCTCTTCCTTCTTTCATGTCTTTACTCAGAAGTCACCTTCTCCAGGAGGCCTGCCCCAATTCACATTTTAAAAAATTTCAGCTGTCCTCAACAATTCTTTGCTTTCCTTTTTTTTCCCTTAGACTAAATCGTTCTCCAAGAGATTGTGTAGCTTAACTTTCTTATTAAATATTGGTCTTCCTGCTCGGATTTTGGGTCCACGGTTTCCATCCTAAGAGCTCATCATGTGCTGTCTCTCCAGCCCCTACGTCGGGGTGTGGCACACAGCAGGTGTCCACGAAGCGTTAATCAAATGAATGAGTCTCAGTGCCAGGCTCAGTCCTGAACGTTTAACATATAGGATCTCATTTAGTTCTCACACTGCATTTCTGGTAGTGTCTCTGTTTTTTCAGATGAGTAAACTGAGGCACAGAGAGACTAACTAACTGTGGTAAAGTTGAACAGGTGACAGGTGAGGTGGTAGGGAGGTGGGCGTCTGTTGCCAAGCCAGGCACGCCATGCTCTCAACTTCCACATTCCAAACCCCCAGCTCTCAGGTCTGCTTTGGGAATCAATGCCAGGGCCAGAGTCTGAGCCTACCTGGGATGCGGACAGTGATGGGAACCGGGACTCAAACCCAAGGGGTCAGGAGGCTCCAGGGTCACTGGTGGGGACCACATCTCTCGTGACCACTGTGGACCAAGTCATGTCCACCCGACACATTTGCCCCTGAGAACGGTCCTCCTCTCCTGATGGGGGTGGAGGGGAGGTGGCAGGCCTCCACCGACTGGACCCTCAGCCTGGGCTCCTCCCATCACGTGATAATGGATTTGCTCTGTGATCTGCCGGAGGGCCCAGAGGTTCTGATCCACAGGGAGCTGGCCAGGTGAGGCTCTCTTCCCCGTGTAGATAGCGGTGCATGGGGACAGGGCTGCAGCCATGCGACCTTAAGAACTCGACAAGCTTTCACATTTCAGTTGCTCACAGTCTGAAGCTGCAAACCGCAGAGAAAGGGGAACAGGATGATTTCTCAGTTCCCCTTCCATGGATAGTAAGAGCTCCCTCTCTCCGTCACCCGCCGGCTTCCTGTTGGGGCCTCCTCCTCGGGGCGTCTCCTCCCCTGGCAGAGGAACCTGCGCCCGGGCTCTGCCCTGGCCGAGGCGGACATGGGGCCCCTGCTGCTGCTGCTGCCCCTGCTGTGGGGGGGTGAGTGGCCCGGGGCAGGGGGCGACACGGGGGGCGGAGGGGCGGGGGCTGCGGCTGAGCCTCTGTGTCCCCCCAGGGTCCCTGCAGCAGCCTCCAGGGTACGGCCTCCAAGTGCAGGAGTCGGTGACGGTGCAGGAGTGCCTGGGCACCAACGTGACCTGCTCCTTCTCCTTCCCGGGGAGCCAGCGGTTCGCCCCCTCCATCTACTGGTTCCGCCAAGGGGACGACATACACATCAGTGCTCCTGTGGCCACAAACGACCCGAGAAGACCAGCGAAGGCAGAGACCAAGGGCCGATTCCACCTCCTCGGGGACCGCAGGGACGACTGCTCCCTGAGCATCAGAGACGCCAGGATGAGCGACTCGGGAACCTACTTCTTCCGAATGGTCGCAGGTTATCCTGAGAGATACACTTACCCAAATAAGCTGAACTTGCAGGTGACAGGTATGGCAGGGCACCCCGAGGGCCGTGGGCCGTGGAGGCCCCCGCCCGCGCCCCTGTTAGAACAGGAACAGGACACAGGAAGACCCCGTGCTTGGAGTCTTGGGGTTTGAGGGTTCAGAGGAGACACAGGCCCCGGGGGGAGCTTGGGCCCCGAGGCACTGGTCCCTCTTAGGGTCACACTCTGGGTCCCCACCCCCTGGGGCCCAGGCATCTCCCTCTCTCCTCCTCAGCCCTGACAGAGAAACCCGACATCCACTTTCTGGAGCCTCTGGAGTCTGGCCGCCCCACGAGTCTGACCTGCAGCCTGCCAGTCGTCTGCGATGGGGCAAGATTTCTCTGGTTCTCCTGGGCGGGGGACACCCTTGATGCGGTGGACCCAGAGACGCTCCACAGCTCGGTGCTCACCCTCACGCCGAGGCCCCAGGACCATGGCACCAACCTGACCTGTCAGGTGAAACTCCAAGGAGGTCAGGGGACCACGCTGGAGAGGACCGTCCAGCTCAATGTCTCCTGTGAGTGTGGAGGGACGGCCGGGTCCCTGAGGGCAGTGGGCTGTGTGAGCATGTGTGTGTCCAGGCCGGGGAGAGCGCAAGGGCCAGCTCACTCACGAACACGTTTTTATGGATCTGAGCCTTGGGAGTCTAGGTGGGAGGTGGCCGTGAGGATGGCAATCCCCACCTTCGCAGCTTCCACCACCTGTTTTGGGTGCTGGGTCAATTTCCACCCCACTCCTCACCTCTGAAGCAGGGCACGTCTCTCTCTCCCAGATGCTCCGTCGAACCTCAGCATCAGCGTCTCCTTCAGAAACGTCACAGGTAGGAAAGAACCTGTGCTCCCCAGGGCTGGGTCCCGCTCCTGCGACCGCCTCCGGGCAGAGAGGGCAGGGGATTCACAGCTCGAATGGGACCAGATATGGGAAAAGCAAAGGTGAAAATCACCATTGTCCCTCCCTCACCTCCAGAGCACCAGTCCTCACACTCGCATAAAATGCACATGTGCACACACATATGCATGCACACATATATACACGCACACACACGCACATACACACCAAACTGTTCAAAGCCATTTCACTTCACTGTGATTCTGCTCTGTGGTTTTCCTCCACGAAAGCCTCTTTAGTTTCATTTCTCGCTGCATTAACTGAATCCATTTCTCCACGATTGGAGGCTCTCTGCTTTCTTTCCACCAAACAGCCCAGGCAGATCCCACTGAGACACTGAGCCTCCCCCTGAAGATATGAGACCCAGATACTTTGAGCCAACCTCCTTAGGGTGTGAAGGTCCAGCCTTAGAACCGAGACAGAAGCAAGCTGGTGGGCCAGGGGAGGAGAGGGAGGGGCCAGGCAGACCCCGGGAAGGACGGAGGGATGGAACCTGTCAGCCTGCCAGCCTTCTCTCTCCTCTCTCTGTCTGCACTTTCTTCCAAAGCCCTCAGGACTCTGCAAAACACCTCAGTCCTTCTCATCTTGGAGGGCCAGGCTCTACAGCTGCTCTGTGTTG